ATAGCCTGTGCCTCTAATTTGTTAAAAAGTACTTTTGTCTGTAAACATTATGTGTTACCACCATTCAAGTTTCTTGTTTTTTAGTTACATTATTTTGTAAAATTTGTAGTTACAAATTTTGTAAGAGTTACATACAGTAACTCTTACAAAATTTAATCCTAGCTTGTATTTGAGCTGGAGTTAATAAAGGTTTTTTAGCTGGTCTTCTTGCAACTAGAGCAAAATCATAACACAACCTTTTAATTGTTCTCAAACTAATAGTAACTCCCCTTTCCATAGCAAATTGTAATAACCTTGCAGATGTTGTGTGGGGCTCACTATTAATAACGTAATTTAAAAAACAGTCTTCTCATGATGTACTCACACGTTTTCTACCACAATTTTTTTGAATTCAATCCAACTTGAATAGAATGTGATTGTTTTCAAATTAAAAACAATTTTAACTCATCCTTAGTCACATACCACAAACTTTGATTTCTAAAAAAAAAATTTCCCTTAAGGCAATATAAATTAAGGCTCAAAATTTTGTTAAAAAATTTATTGTCACTCGATGTGAACTTAATTGATTTATTCAAAAAGTAATAGTTTTACTAACAAACTTTGATTTTTTAAAAAAAAATTTCCCTTAAGGCAATATAAATTAAGGCTCAAAATTTTGTTAAAAAATTAAAAGAAGACCAATTATTCATTGAAATGGAAGTACAACGTATGCTTAAAGAGGACATTATTGAACATGCAAATTCAAATGGCGTCCAGTAAGGTAGTGTTTCCAATGTCTGACCGCTTCTATTATTGCGCAAGCTTCTTTCTCAATAGAGGGATGTTTGAGTTCAGATTTTTGAAGTAATCTTGAAAAGAAAGCTACAGGGCGGCCATTTTGATTAAGAACTGCAGCTTTAGCAATGTCAGATGCATCCGTTTCTACTTCAAATGGAACATTTTCGTCCACATAATCTTTCACAGCATTTGCAATGTCTTGTTTAAGTTAATTGAAATCATTTACACACTGATGATCTAATGGGTACTTGATGTTTTTGGTAAGAGAAGCTATCTTGTCGGAAAAGTTTGTAATCCATTTAGAGTAGTATGAGAATAGTCAGATGATACGCTTCATAGATTTAGCAGCATAAGGAGGAGGCATCTCTTTCATAGGTTGAAGACGACTGGAATCTGGTTTGAGCTTTCCTTCTTCTATAAGATAACCAAGAATGCTAATTTTATCTTGGGAAAAGCTACATTTATCATGATTATAAGTAAGATTTATATTTTCAGCTGATTTAAGAAATTTTTTCAGATTAATATCATGCTCCTCTTGAGTTTTACCACATATTTTCACATTATCTAGATAAGCATAAGTATCTAAAAGTCTTTTTTTTTCTATAAATTTGTTTATGGCTCGTTGAAAACAAGCAACGCCATTTTCAATTCCAAAAGGCATTTGCTCAAATTGGAACAACCTCCTATTTGCTTCAAAAGCTGTAAATTTTCTATCATTTTTGGTAATTGGAATTTGATAGTAGGCTGATTTCAAATCAACTGTACTAAATATTTTGTATTGAGCAATTTTGTTTACTAGATCATCAATCCTTGGTAATGGGTAAACATCTAGTTGAGTATACTTATTTATTGTTTGACTGTAGTCAATAACTAATCTTTTCTTAGAGCATTCTCCTTTAGTTACAACTACCTGAGCTCTCCAGGGAGAATTTGCATGTTCAATAATGTCCTCTTTAAGCATACGTTGTACTTCCATTTCAATGAATAATTGGTCTTCTTTCCTATATCAACCAGATTTTGAAGCAATTGGTTTACAGTTAGGCAATAAAATGCCAAATAAACTAGGTGGAGATACATTCAACTTCGACAAACTACAAATTAATAGTGGGGGTCTTTTTCCATCAAACTTACAGCTTTGTGTTGTTTTTGAAAATCGAGACCCAGAATAACATCCATGCAAAACTCATTTAAGATGTTGAGTTTCACTAGTTTATAATGCTCATTTTTTATTGAAATATTGACAAAAACTACTCCACAAAATGTACTAGATAAAGATGATGAAGCCATAGATACCTGTTTTTGGTTTGTCTATGAACTGTTAGGTTAAGTTTTTGTACCCATTGAGGGTGAATAAAACTATCAGTGCTTCCACTGTCAATGAGAGCATTTACAAACGAACCATTAACCAACATACCAATTGTTGATTTAGTCGAAGGTGAAATGGAAGCAGAAATGTTCTTTAAATTAGTTTTATATTCAGGGTAGTCTAGTCAAGTGAGTGAAGGATTGTATGAGTTCAAAGGTTGAACAACAAGATTCATCCTAGCTGTTGTAAGTTTAGAAGATTTACATAACTTGGCAAAATGACCAACTTTCCTTTGATTCACTCAGGTTTATTTGAACATGTTCTTTAACAAACCCACAGAATCTCTAAAAATATATCAAAAGATTCCAAAAGAAATCAGTGGAAACTTGTTTTTTTATGCAATTGTCTTATTTTTTAATTTTAGGTAAGTTAATATATAGAAAAAGGGGTTTTGTCGTAAAAAACAAAGTAAATAATCATAACACAACATGTGACCAATCATCTATATACTTTAGACAGACATTGTAAAAAATGTCTATTTCTTCAGAAATTAGTTTTTAAAATAAAAAACCTAGTTTCTGAAGGAAGTAGATATTTCTAACCAATTCACTTAGCAACCAATAGATACCAAAAAAGATAGAAAAAAGAAAGTGATTTTTTTTAAATCATAAGATCATAGTGTACAATAAAAATGAATTGGTGAATGTTAAAAGGACGGAAATTCTCCTAAACTAAACATTTGGAAACTAAAAAAAACAGTATTTCCTCTTGTAGTAATTTTTTTTAATGGTTTAATAATTTTTTTTTGAAAAAAATTATTAAAGCCAAAAGTCAAAAAAAGAAATTGAAACAAAGAATATTTTGCCTTTACTTATTTTTATTTATTTAATCAAAATTTTGTTAATATCTTTACACTGTTTAAAAATGCCAGTTGCCAGATATTCTCTAACCCTAAAATGTGTTCTATATAAGTAATAATTAATACTGGGTTTAAACAACTTTTGAAAAAAAAAATTTTAAAGAGTGCACAGACACCAGAAAGGTCCCTGATATTATCAAAAAAAAAAAGTTTTTTAAAAGTATGTCATGTTGGCTCTCAAATGAAGCGAAATTATACAAAAATTTCATAAATATTATTTTATTTTAAAATATTATTTAATTTGGCCCAATCTTCAATCTTTTTAAAAATGCAAGAGCCTTATATAAATATGCCATTCATTGCTGCAAAAAAAAAGAAGATACAATAAAAGCAGAAAAGCTTGCAAACAGTTTAGCAAATAAAAATCTATATTAGTTTCTGGTCTACCGTGACCTGTATTCGCAACGATAAATGTAGTCTTCTGCCTTCTATTGACTCTGCATGAGGTCCTGATAATGTATGTCACATGTGGTATAATACTATTGCACTCTGTTTAACTCAAGTCAACATGTAATATAAATGACACCTTAATAGTTAAACACTGTAATCTGCTTAAGGATGATGCCTATCTTGTCACTCCCGATGAAGTCCAATCTATCATAAATCATATGACTGGTGGAAAAGCAGCTGACCATTTTGGACTTCAGTTGGACATTATCTCTATGCTAGCCCAAATTACATAAATTAATATTTTATCATTGTGCTTTTTCTCCATGCTTTGTCATGGACACATGCGTATTGGTGCATCGCACTCTGTTATTTCTCCTGTGGTTAAAGATAAGAAAGGTGACAACTCCGATTCTGCTAATTATCGCATAATTAATTGCTCTGGTTACAATTTTCTCCAAGATTTTGTAACATATTTTGTCTCACGCGTTGATGAAAGTTTCACTGGGACTCCCAATCAATTCAGATTCAAGAAAAACATACCATCTTTATGCCAGTTCTTATTTTAAAAGATATTTTAAATTTTTACCTGTCACATGGCTCAAATATACATGTGACATTAGTAAGGCCTTTGATAGAGTTTGATTTGACACACTATTTATGAAACACATAATACGATTTGACATACTATTTATCTAAAATTATCTC